AAGCTTTTTTGAATGACATACTCGAAAAGGTCTTGCTCGCAATACATTCCGAAAAGATTATCATATGAGAGAGAGAGAGAGAGCTCACCTGTCGAATGTGGGTAGGCGGTGGGCGACGGGCGGTCGTCGACTAGGCACAAGCCGGTGGGCGACGGGCGGTCGTTGACTAGGCACAGGCTGGTGGGCACTGGGTGGTGAGCGCTGGCCGGTGGGTGCTGGGCAATGCAGTAGCGCAGGGCAATGGCGCACGGCGGCGGGCGTTGGCCGACGTATGAAAACGTTTGTGGTGCATATGAAAATGTGGGCTAATGTGCAGGCCAGCTCGCCAAACGCGAATTCCGGAAATAAGAGAGTGGGCCCTTTGAGGCCGTGCCATTATTCTCGAAATCCAGTACTGGGTGTCGGCCTGGTTTCGTGGCCCTGAAAACCGGTACTGGGTGCGGGCCTGGTTTCCTGACCGTTTTCCATGCTTTTGTGCTGGTCGAATGCAGAGTCCAGCATGGTCGAGTGCATTATTTGCGTGTGCTTCATTGCTTTTGGCCCTGAGACAAATTGCTGCAGAGCGAGGGCTCGTGCGCGCGCGCGCAAGAGAGAGAGAGAGAGAGAGAGAGAGAGAGAGAGAGAGAGAGAGAGAGAGAGAGAGAGAGAGACGTCCAGTGTGTGCTTCCATACAGCGTGTGAATCGGTCATGGCGACCAAAGGTACGAGGAGGTGTGAGGTGCCACCTTTCTTATATATATATATAAATATATATATATATATATATATATATTTGAAATATGTAGAAAAATCGAAGCGCGTGGGCAGGGATGATTGGTGGGAGAGAACCGTAGATCTCCCACTTTTTTTCTGTTTTTTTTTTTTTGAATCTATGGAAATGGCGAATAGGTTGCTGCGCTGGATTCGATCCCCACTAATGTGGGCAGGGCTGATTGGTGGGAGAGAACTAAAGATCTCCCACCTTTTTTTTTTCGATTTTTTTTTTGAATCTATGGAAATGACGAACAGGTTGCTGCACTGGATTCGATCCCCACTAATGTGGGCAGGGCTGATTGGTGGGAGAGAACCATAGGTCTCCCACCTTTTTTCCTTTTTTTTTTTTCGAATCTATGGAAATGGCGAATAGGTTGCTGCGCTGGATCCGATCCCCACTAAACTGGGCAGGGATGATTGGTGGGAGTGAACCATAGTTCTCCCACCTTTTTTCCTTTTTTTTTTTTTGAATCTATGGAAATGGCGAATAGGTTGCT